CACTGCTGTGTTTCGTATGGTGAGTGTAGAGAACCGGAAACCTATTTTACTGCAAAAGAGGCATTCCATCTTAGTCCTCACGGGTGACAACGCATCTGCATTTTGATTCGCAAACGAGGATAAATGTAGATATCTATGGGCCACAGCAACCACTTGGTGAACTGTGTGCTCGTTTGTCACCCTTATCCTATAAACAATATTTTTCATCCATACACAAGAACTGTTTAACTCTTCAAATGCAGAGAAAATCCGCTGTGACAGACGGATACACGGGCTGACGGACGGACAGAGAGACATCCTAGGCTGAGTAATAGGGTCCCATTTTCACTCTTTGGGTACGCTAAAGATGCGTCATCACTCCATACAAAACAGTAAAAAGCAACGATAAGTAAAGTAAGTAAATAAACCATTCATAGACCATTATAACCACTTTCAGTTAAATTGAAAACTTCATTGAATTATAATAATATGTGTAGGTATGTATGTACTGTAATGTCAAAAACTTATGAAGTTATGAAAATAACATTTACTTTCAATATTTTTGAGGTTATGATCCTTCTAAACATCATTGTGTCGAGTTTTTATCATTACAAAGTGACCAACAGCCGCTTCCACCAGTAATTTTGCTCTTGTTTTGGCTTCTGCAATTGTTTTTTCACTTTACCAATATCAATTAAGTATTTTAAACAATATTTTTCTTCATACACAGCCACACTACGCACATTATCAAAAAGCGCACGAGAATGTGACAGAATGAAAATCAAAACAATTGAATGGCTTTCATTCACCGAAAAGTGACGTCGCGTCTTTCGACCATCGTAAGCTGACTGGAAAAAGGTGTTATATGTCCATAGATATGACCTACTTCCACAATAGAAGAAAAATGTTTTTACTTTATTTATCTGGAAAGCGATGATGTGGGCCAATACCTCTTCCATACAGTGCCATTTTCAAATTGAACTGAACATAACACCTTTCTCAACATTCTATTTTCAGTCATTTTGTATCAATATATCACCTTCATTTACGCAAAAAAAAAACACCAAAACCCGAAAATGCGGAATGTAACCTTCATTCACTCACGTCTTCACTTTTATAAGCCTTGCTTACATCTTCTTTAATATGTATAGACTAGCTGTTCCCCGGGACTTCGCCCGCGTGGAATTATGATTGGATTTTATGGGTTATAATTTTTTTGCACGGTACCCTATTTTATTTTCTAAAATAAGAGTAGTCTAAGTTAGCTATAAGCTATCTGCCAGTGAAAGTCCCGTCAAAATCAAGTCAGCCGTTTCGGAGATTAGCCGAAACAAACAGACCGACAGACGACAAAAATTTAAAAAATTGTGTTGTTGTTATAAGTACCGTATACAATTTCATATGCATTTAGTTAAACGCTGTAATTTTGACATTACAAACAGACACTTCAATTTTATTTATTTGTCTTTATTTGTATAGAGAAATCGAATATGTTATTTTATTTGCTTATAATGAACAGAAATTAACTAGGGTTTCTAATATAAAAAATAATAAAATATTGGTATAGATTATGTACGAGTGTTTTCATATAAGGCAATGTAAGAAATACTTTCTCATTATTATTTGTTTATGACATTTTCATTTCGTCGAATTAATATCAACTCTATTTAATTAATAATGAAATGTGGTATTTGTGTGAGCTCATTTTATAGTTATGTACAAAGTGGTCGTATCCGGCTCTTTTGATAATGATGGTACTGTGACGAAGTTTCGTATTCAAAGTCAATGCTGGCATAATTTGTTTCGTTATCTTCCTCTGTTGAGTTCCAGTAACAAAGTCGAAAAGTGTTTTATTCATAAAAGAACTAAGATTTAAATTATAAATAAGCTCTGTGACTTATTTATTGAATTCAAATCCTTTAGGATATTTTATGTAATAAGATTAATTTTATGAAAATAGCCTCAGTTGCCTTTTAAGATAAATTTATTTGGAAGAAAGAGCAAAGGAAAAAAAAACAGAAGGTTTCATTTGGTTAACCCCAGTCCAGTTTTAAAAGGGTGTATTTAATTCACACCGTTTTACTTATTTATTGTAATAGTGTTTACAATTTAAAAAAAAGATTTGATATCGCAGAGCGCATGCGAATATAGTTTTCTTGTTTGACTAATCGTCTGTTTTCACAGCAGTAAATCTATTTTATCTTTCGCTATAAATGTTATTTTATACACATGTTGTAAACAGCTGAGCGTTGCATACCAGGCTATGAATTAAGAAAGGAATATAATATATCTAGCATGATGTATCCCTTGCGAAATCGATCTGCCATGTCTTGCAATTATAGCACCTTATCGGAATATTTTTTAAATTTTTGTTAATAAATTTTATTATTATATTATTTTATTATTAAATTGTATAATGTTTTCCTGTCTCTTGTATTAAATGTTGCCTTGAAAAGCAATTCAACACAGAATTATTCAGGTCTTGTACAAATACAACATAAGTAAGGTATCTTCTTAGTATATTCTCACTTTCCAATTGAACAGCGTTAAGCATAGTAATCTGTATTTTTTTTAAATATATCGTATTGAATAATGGTTAAGAACCAGCACACTGTCCACCTGATCTATCCTCGACCAAGAATCAAAATGCGGATACGTTGTCACCCCTGAAGACTAAGATGGAATGCCTCGTTTCCAGTAAAAAGTACAATTTATAATTTGAGTAGCGTGGCTTTAACGCAAACTTAAGCGGCGCAAAGTTTACATGTCCTTACTTAGTGTTTAGTTAGGACACGCACTGGCGATCGTGACCCTGATACTGTATTGGTTACGCATTACTGCACAATACCATATTGAATGTGTAACAATGTTGTAATCCAATAAAGAGCCAATTTACCGCATTTGATTTTATTTAAATGTTTTATGATTGCTTCGCATTTTGCAGATGCGAAATATTAATATATGTAAAATAGCTGAGCGAATCTGATGCGTCTTCAACATCGCACGCAGCGAATTTTTTTATTTAAGTATATTTCTTGTAACTTTGTCCATGTGGCGACTGCTGATACAATGTCATAGACACCGAAAGTTTTACTCATGTGCCGAAACAGACATTAAGATTTGTAAATTTAAGATTTCTTGTGGCAAATTTGATAAGAACGATTTACTATCAAACTTGTCGCAAAAAATTTTATTATTGCTGTGTTCAAGTGTAATGCGAAAATAGCTCTGATATTAGGTACAACAAATTGTATTTTTGAAAGAAGCCTACTTTGCGGTAAGGTGCGAGTGAATAAATGTAGATAAAATATAAGTTTGAAAAAATGTGGATGAAATAAGTGTTATTCTACAAGTCTTCCAAAATATTTAGGACGTTTACAATTATTCTTTAATCATGAGGTCTTAAAAAATTAAAGCCAAGTGTGGCAACTATGCAGCATATGTATGTCCCTGTGGCAATTTATTGGTGAAGACTGTTCAGTTCATAGGCTGCAATTTGTGAATGAATGATTAATAAATATTTATTGATATAAGAAATTGGAACATCCAGCAACAACTTGATTATTGCTTCTGTAAAAAGCTTAATTAGAGGCAGGTAAATCTGTAATATAAATTTAAGTACATTTTTGTAGGTACACTTAAAATAATGTCATAAAATATAACTACTTCTTCTTCACAAGCCTGTCAAAGTTCCCTGAAGAAAAATACTAATTAACAATTCATGAGTTGTAGGGTGGATTTGCTAGAATCCTCACTCTTGGCAGACGGAATGGCAACTAACATGTAGCCATCTCTCGTAAGCCGTAAGATCTTTTTGGCATTTACTCAAAAATCGCCTCTAACAAATCTTATGGCACAAAATGGTTGATGTATTATCTTGCAATGCCACTACAAGGGCAATTAAATATATTATGTATAAATAAATGTTGGCTTATAGAAAACAAATCATTACAAATGTAGTATCAATGGCTACAATATACATACAACGCAATAGTGATTTTTCTCGTTAATTAGATAAACTTAACTGCCAATATTTTTGTGAAAATTAAGCTTATTTTTGTATAATATGGCTATGACAAATGTAAAAAAGTGTTAATCATTTTAACTATAAGTATTACTTATCAATATTAAAATATGCTAATCTTTTTCTTTACTTTTGTGTATATAAAAACGATCTTCAAAATGGTGGTTGCAAATGCGATTATCATAATTGGTTTTGTCCTCTTCGACCTATTAACTGTTTTGTACTGATAGTTTCAGAAAAGTGTTTGGGTTTGAAAAGTGCTGTAAAATACCTGAAATATTAACAAAATAAGTTGAAATAGCATTGTTATAATTGATATATTGCGGTTGGAATGGACATATGTAATAAATCATTAATAACAATAATGCAGTCATGTAAAACATACAGCCATTAAAAACATACAACATAAAGGCTAGTGTGTTTCGCCTTATCTCGCACTAAAATATACAGTTCAAAGGTTTGATTTGACGAGGTAACAACGTAATTCTGGTAATACTTACCGATGTTTAAAGTCTGTTGCTAATTTGAAACATAGATCGAGATTAATCTCTTCAAAGCTTTCAATTAGTAAGTATCCGCTTTAGTCTCCGATTGTTCCCAGGTTCCAGGACTCGCTCGCCAAACCTGAGCTTAAGGAACGAGAGTGATGAAACCAAAAATGCACAGTGCTTTAAATTTGTACCTTGAACTTTGAATTCCAACCGAATACAAGATAAGATAACTAATCAGACAAATTTCCTTAATTTTGGTTAGTCCAGTTTACCATTAATTTCTTAATCATTTTTTTGAAATTGGTGGTAAACTGACCAGAGACGGGATAAATTGACGCTAAAACTATTTCAAGCTTTTCTCTCAAATAGTAAATTCCTTTTTTAATTAGGTTCTTTACAACAATAGGATTGAAAGCAAATACAAGTATTCTAAAAAGATACCTTTAATAAAATAAGAAGGTTTAGCTTGAGAGTGATGACTGATGTTACGATATGGTGTTTTTCAGGCGTGTATCGACGATAACCTAGACATGGTAGAGTTCTTGGTGAGTCACGGTGCCGACGTGAACCGAGGTGACAACGAGGGCTGGACCCCATTGCACGCGACCGCCTCCTGTGGCTTCCTCAGCATAGCCAGGTAATAAATTCCGCATGTGAAATAATATTTACTACCAATACCTATATATCCATTTATTTCTTATGTTTTTATTATATTATACATCTTTTTTATTATTTTAGCTTTTGCCCGCGGTTAGCTCGCGTGAAAACCGGAAAAGAATATCCTTACGAAAAAGTCAAAAAGGCAATGTGTTCAAAGACCTAGACAGCATAAAGTGGTGATTACAGAATATCGCTCCAGATAAATTCCACAGAAACTTTATTTTGCCTATTGCACTCTCCGGCCCATAAACTATCTCCATGCAAAATTAAAAATCATGTCGATCCTGCATCGTTGACGAATACACTTTCGCATTTATAATATTTTAAAAAAGGAGATAATCGTCAGTGCGTCTGTTAGTGGTTGTGTAACTTCTGAACGACTTGACTGTTTGCGGTCATATTCATACAATATATTTTTTTAATCGAAATGGTCATTCATAGAGAGCTATGTTATTATCCGATACGCGGTGCTGTCGTGAAGTTATTAATATTATTAAATTATAATTTTTTTAAATATTTTACTCATTTGTTTGTACATTATTGCACTTCTCAACGAGAAGCGTTATTAGGTAGTGCAAAAGGTCAAGCAATTTTGTATTCTTAAAATACCTCTATCATAACCATATTGCACTTACACGATAATATGAGTAGCCGTATATTAATAAAACACTGTAATGAATCCATCTTATAATTTATAAAAAAATCATTTTATATTGCCACAATATCGGTTTGATAAAATTTTACGTGGACGCCTCAATGTTGATTTAGTATGTGGTCACGAAACTCCCGAAAAAATTGACGTATCGAGACCGTGTTTTTTTATTAGCTTCAGAATTACTATCACCTGGTTCTCTATTTCATATCTAATACGCCTAGTTTGTTAATAAAATTATATTCAACTTTTATAAGTTTTATTATTGCTATTAAAAATTTAAAGGCACTTTCATATAATTTTTTAGCCCTTGATAGACAAAGGACAAATGTATCATTTCGATTTTATACTTTGTGTAATCGATTTATTTTGGTAAATATTATAATTTTTTTTTCTCTAGGTGACAATACTTGTTAATATTTAAGATATAAGATATAAGATCTATAAAATAGATCGCCAAATTTATAAACATATAAATATTATATTTTAAAAGTCAGGAATACAATTTTTTTTTCATTAAAATTAAACGAAACGCTCATGAGGCGTGCACTTTTCAAAACTATTGGTATTTACTCGTACTAATGCAACAACATAGGAGAAATTATTTCCAAACGAGCTAAATGCGAATGTTCAAGTGATTTAAACAAGTAAATTATTATCATTTGTTCGAAGGATCATTTCATCTATAATTTTATTCTTGTTTATTCCAAAAGACTTGTTAAAGAAATAAATTATCTTGGCATTTTGATATTCTTACTAAATCAATTATGTTTTTCGGAATCATTAGTCATGCTATCATTAACTTACAAAAATGGATACTTACCATTATTTTTTTAATTTTGTATCACATGTAGAAAGATATGTTAGACCTGGTTAGATGCCGGAAGTCGATGGTTTAAGGTGGCTCAGGATTGTCCTATGAGACATTCTTCGGGAGGCCCTTGTTCAGCAATGGCCTTGTGAAGGGCTGTAACGTGGTGATGATGATGATGATCATTATGTTTTTGGTTGGTGCAACTGTAAATCACTTACGTGTAACTTCTGCAAGACTCGACCGATTGAGGTCATATTCACGTAATACATTTTTTGTGTCGAGACGATATTTTATGACGATATGCTAGAATTCGATTGGTAGCGCTGTAGTCAGTTATTAATAAATTATTTCATGGACCAAAATAAACCGTATTCACAAGTTGTGAAATTTAGTGCCAAATAACAATATCACATAATGGAATGGGCACAGTCTGTCGGGCCATACACTGCTTCCCCAAATTACCTAGGAATGTATTTTTAAATCATTGGCGTATGCCCATTTTGTTATTATATGTATATAATATTTTTCTAACACATTCTATAACACGTAGACAATGATTTAAGCTAGCAGATGGTTGCTGCAGTTGTTTAATTGTGTGGCTTTAGATATTTTAACACATTTGTACACTGCAAATAGTATGTATTACAAATAGTGTTACTATGTATTACAAATGGTTGAACGTACGTAAACAACGTCTGTCTCACTTATTGAACAGAGTGCGCACAAGAGAGCTCCTTCATCCGCGACTCGTAGTTATACACTGTAATATGTATGTATATACATTATATAATTCTATGTAATATACACTGATTTATCGCGTATGACATGGTACATAAGACAAGAAGTAGTGTTATATATCTTTACCCAGCCGAGTTAGATTCGTTGATTTAACTATAGGTCCAAGTAGGATTTACCTAGTCAGACTATTTGTCCAAGCTAAACATACTCTTCAACAACTGTGAGCGTAGTGTTCCCAACAACATCCGCCATTGGTGTGACATGGAGTTTACATGTGACGTACTTGTTCACGTTCATCTTAAAACCCATCGGTCGGGAGACACTTTTGAGGTCATTGAGTATAGAGTACTAAGTATAGTGCTCCTTCAGGAAATCTGCCATACTGACTATGTATATCGTCGGGAAATCGATTCTGATGTCGATTGGATAGTTTAATTACTCTGGTTCAGTCCTCGGTTAACTATTATAGCCCTGCTGTAACTTACTGAATGTACAGTAACACTTCAGCATCTCGATATACCGACAGTCAATCTAGCACCTCTAAATGGAACTGTAGCATCGTCCAATTTTCGACGGATATTTGTATTCGTCGAAAATTGTACGATGCTACTACATTCTTTCTTATAGTCCACACACGCAAAGCAAAGTGGCGGATTGTACTCTTTAGTTTTTTGGCAGACTCGAAGTCGTTAATAAGTTTGCATACGAGACGTAATGACGCTCGAAAACAGAACGCAGACATGATTTAGAAGGGATCGCCTTTCTTGAAGAACAAGGCCACCGCACATCTTTCCATGTTAAGACATTAGGAGGAATGCCGCTATGGAGGAGGTCGAAATTCAAAATCCTGAAATACTTTAAGTAACGGTTTTCCACTAGTTTTAAGAAGCACCGCTGTAATTACATTTCCACTCGAGGTCATGCTGTTTCAAGGTGCTGGAGTCATTCTAGTTTCGCTCAGACTGACTTCTAGGATATAATGAAAATAGTGTCGGATGAGATTTGCTCCGGGGTGCTGCTGGGTGTGTTACTTATACTGACTCAAACCATATTTTTTATGTATTTTTTCGCTCCTGAGTTATATTTACCAAGAGCAACAGCTAATCGATGAATCTGAATATACCGGCATTCGCTTGATACTATTATTATTATCGCTTAAAACTATTATTGCGATCGATCGATACTTTCTTGGCTGTTTTGTCATCTAAGCTTTATATTAAAGAAATAATCGAAATTAATTTGACCTGTGTGTGGTATGTTCCGTACATCTATAACGGCTGTTCTGGTCAGTGCTTAAAATTGAATGTAAATTAGTGTAAACATGTTACACTTTTCTAGTGAACGTGAACTAATATTCGAAAACGAACGGATAAATTCAATATTATTTTATTTCATTACAAGACGCAAGCATTGGCCACGATCCAGATTTACTAAAGTGATGGACGGAGTTTTTGCCGTAATACGCGTAATGTGAATCAATCACCTCATCTCAGCACGTGAGTGTCGGCTAGACCGTGTGAAATGCTAAGAACATTTCGTCGAAAATTTTGAAAGAAAATCTCAAGAGAATATCCAGGAAATACCTTATTAGGTGATGTTCTCCTATGGGTCCGTTTGAGTATGTACCCACCCTTTTACCAAACCGTACATCGTGTTTCGGTCTAAAGGGAGAGAGAGAGAGTATAATAATAGTTTGTGAGCCATTCCACTTAGCCCTCGGAGGTAACAACGCAACTGTAGCCTTCCTTTTTAAGAAGTTGCTTGCAAATGTTCATGGGCTGCAGTAGACACTAATTTTTAAGTTTGACTGTTAGTTTATTATTCAGTTCAATGTGATTAAAATTTGACAGACTTAAAACTATGAAATATCAGTCTTTTTTTTTGGATTTTCATATGAATTGTAGTATTAAAATATTTCATATTTTGTAAATAAAAATCATTATCATTAGTCTTGTTTTCATATCTGTTGGCACTCCTATCAACAATTATATACATTACAAGCTGTAACTAGCAATAACGATCATAATTATTAGCAGTAATAGTTAAGTGATATTTGCGTTTTATGTTTGGTGTGGCATCAGGAGAAACAGTTGTGATATATTACGTGTTTGAAAAACACTTGAATACTATAAAAAAAATAGTAATATTGAACCTTCTACGAAATTAATTTAACTGGAGCGAAATAATGTCATCTTTCAACAAGACGGTGTTCGAATGTGATGTTTGAATGTGAATGAATGAATGAAATTTAATTTATTGTATACCAGAAAAACACAAGAGAGAAAAACAATAAGAATAAAATTATTTAAAGGAAGGTACAATTGGCGGCCTTATCGCTTAAAAGCGATCTCTACCAGGCAACCAACCAACCAAAATTATTCTTATTTTGAAAAACAAAGGAATGTTTCCTTTGAGTGAAATGTCCAGTTTATTTTTTCCACTCTGTATATATAGATTATATACAAGCGCTTCTTGTAGCTACTTTAAATGTTGTCCAAGTCACACAAACACATCTGGCTTATAGCTACAGATATATTGCTGTTAAAACAAGTTAGTGATGCGAACTCATAATATTTTTCCAATCTAAAAAGCGTCCAACGCGCATATCATACGCGCACACCACGTCATTCTTATAGCGACAGAGTTCGGTGACGCGAACTCATAAAATACCATCCACCCCACCCACACCTACCCAAAATCGCCCAACGCAACTAAAGAAGTTTTCACTTCAACCAACTCGTTAGCTCCGAAAATTGGTGCATTATCAATAAATATTGAAACTGTGTTAGATATAGCATGTCGAATATGTTTTTTTCTTCTTTATCAGCCCTTAAAAGTCCACTGTTGTAATGGGTAGATAAGATGATTACAGTACCATCTATTGGAAGGAATAAATTCTTCCTGGCTTATCCTGTAGTTGTCCTGACTCTTACGACACACATGGGATGATATGGGGTGACGGATTGTCTTACGCTGCCACCACACGACTAATACTGCATTTGAATTGTCTTTATACCCCTCAAGTCAAGCATGGTAATATAGCTGATATTCTAATTTAGGGAAGATTTTAAGAGCTGCTGCTATTGTTTACAGGTATCTGTTGGAGAACGGCGCGGACGTGGCAGCTGTGAACTACGATGGAGAGCTACCAGTCGATATTGCCGATTCACATGATGCTATGGAGGAGCTACTCCAGAAAGCCATCGAAGAAAAAGGTACGGATTTTAGCACATTATTAGTATTCTATTAACATCTTACACGTAAATTTTTAATACGTCTATAGATTTGCCTTCATTACGATTTGCTAAGGAGCAGCGGTACAACATTTACATACTATAAATAAGTAATATTCCATGAAATATGTAATATTATTTAGAAATCATCAAATATAAATATTATACTAAAATCTGGTTTGTTTTTCTTACAGTCTATTATGTAAAACGTAAACTACATTATGGTTTTGTAAAATATTTAGGTGTTGACTGTGACAAATGCCGTAACGCTGAAGTTGACACCCTGATGGCTGATGCAAAGAACTGGGCTGTGAATGGTTATGTTGAAGTGCGGGATCCGAAAACCGGGGGTACACCACTGCATGTTGCTGCGGCTAAGGGCTACCTTGATGTGAGTGTTGAGCCCAATTTCTTTCAAGTTTTAACTAACCTTGTTTCCTTTCTAAGTATTTTCGGTTTAAAATTTGGCACGGTTATGTAACTGTAATGATGAATTAATAATGAATGAATGATTTTTTTATTCTCCATTCAAGACATTGAAAATTAGCTGGAGTTGGCACTAGTTTTGAACACAGGACAGTTTTGGTGGTAACCCCAACAAATTGCGACTTTCATTTTTATCAAATATATCTACTTCAAATTCATATGATGCCTACTTTAATTATTAAATACTAAAACAAATTTAAACTATGCGGCCGCTAAATTAGTGCCGCTAATTATGAGCACACACACTATAAGTAAATAATGATATTGTAATAACTATTTTAAAAATAATCTTACTCTGTCACAATGTATTTAATTATCGTTTTGTTCAAATTAGGCGTACATATAATAATAAATCGTTACACTAAGCTCTCATGATTATTTATGCGAGTCTGAAGTGTCTGTTCATCCCTACATCAATGTATTAATATGTAAAGCATAACAACAGGAGTAACTACTGTATAGTTTTCACATTGATAGAAAATTGGTTTTAACAGTAGTAGAGCAACTCGGCAGCTATTGCTGTCGACCACGACCACGACCTCACAGAATACCAGCGTGAAGTAGAAGTCGAAATACAGAAGTTTCGACTGACGAGAGCAGGTGGCCGGAGGCCCAATCCCCCCCCAACATGGTAGCGGAGTTAAATAGATCACTACCCCAGGGTACCAGCACCCCTTGGTGACGGAGAATCCCTCGCTGAGCATCCACGCCCAAGCTACCCCACTTTTTCTGAGTGTGGGTGCTCAGGCTGCCCAGTGTATTCTGGGGGGAAGTGCCACGATTTCTGTCAAATTGTGCAATATCAGGGGACTTCATTCAAACCTCAACGCCGTCCACTACGATCTGGAGGCGGCAACGGCGCGGCAATGGAGCGGCCGGACTTGCTCTTTTTATCCGAGACACAGGTGTCCTCTCCGGCTGATACTTCGTAGCTCTTCTAACCGCGGTACAAATTAGAACACTCCTTTGTGCCCCGGGTTGGAGTTTGCGTGTACGTCAGGGAGGACATCTGTTTTCGACGCCTCAGCAGTCTTGAAGGTACGGAACTGTCCATTATATGGCTGCGCGTAGACAGCGACGACCATCCCCGCGTCTACGGGTGCCTCTATAGGTCCCATAGCGGTAATGCCGAAACAGACCGACTCATCGACCACGTCCAAATGGCTGCAGACTCCGTGCTACAACAGATCCCATCCGCAGTGATCATCAGGATCATCACTCGGTGATTTTAACGCCCACCACGCTGAATGGTTTGGTTCCCGTTTAACCGATCATGAGGGTAGATCTGTTTATGACTTTGCCTTGCCATATGGTCTGACACAACTGGTTACTTCGCCTACGTGGATCCCAGATGTGGAGGATCATTTACCTTCCATGTTGGAGCTTCTGCTGACCTCTCATCCGGACTGATATCAGGTCTCCGTCGATGCCCCTCTTGGCTCTTCGGACCACTGTCTGATCCGGAGTATAGTGCTACTCATGCTCCCATCGCTGTTGCGATCTGCATTTTGCCGCCGTGTTTGCCACTATAGGTCGGCAGATTGGGACGGGATGCGGTCTTTTTGCACCCTACCCTTGGGGGCGGGTTTGCTTCTCGTCAGATGATCCCAACGTTAGGGAATGGAATTATTTATTCCATCATCTGTGGTGCATATCGGAGGCAGAACTCAGCCATGGTTTGGTCACTCCTGTAAAATTGCATCATGCTATAAGCAGGAGTGCTACTGGGACTGGGCTGACCCATCAATATCCCGGGATGTAAACCCCAGTGCTCTTAAAAACATGTATAGAATAGAATAGAATGATTTTTTATTCAATATTGATTATTACATAATACTTATTGAAAATCATTTTTTATTTACTACTGGTTCGGAAAATACCTCTGTCCTGGGAAGAACGAGCAAGAAACCCAGTGGGACTTTTATTAAACATATTTCACTTAACAATAATTTTGTTTATACAATTTTTAAATGAATTTTCATAGAACCAGCATGGTGGCGATCACCTTATTCCCAGGGGTTATTTTCATTCATGTATTCCTTTATATTATAATAACCCTTTTTGTACAGCTTTTCTTTAATAAAACTTCTAAACTTGTTTATTGGCAAACTTTGAACATGTTATGGGATTTTGTTGTAAAAGCGTATGTATACATTTCCCCGTAAATGAATTACTACTTATGTGGAGTCTAGTAACTGGAATTACAAGCTTATATTTGTTCCTAGTGTTTAAGGTATGAACATCCTTATTCTTATTAAAGCTATTTATGTTTTTATCTACATACATTAGATTTTCATAAATATATTGCGATGCCAAAGTTAATATGTATATTTATTTAAATGTTTCTCTGAGGGAATCTTTACAATTTAGGTTTATAAGTCGCCCGAACGGCTCTCTTATACAAAACAAATATAGTTTCAATATCAGTCGCATTACCCCATACTATGAAAGTAAGTAAAATACACTAATCTAGCTGTCTTTACATCTGTGAGACTTCTAATCTTTCTTACAGAGTATGCTGCAGAACTAAGTCTGCTTGCTAATATATGGGATAGATATATGAAGGCTCCATTGAAGTTTCGCGTCTGTAGTAATACCAAGAAAAACAGTGGCATCCACAATACTCAACTCCTCCCCATTTAAACACGACATATCGAGTGACGTGCAGTTTCGTGGTCGCTTGGAAGAGAAGGCCAAATTGGCCTCTAAAAAGCTTGGCGTACTCAGCAGAGCGGAACAGTATTTTATGCCGACACACCACTTGCATCTTTACAAGGCGCAGGTTTGGCCCCACATGGAATACTGTTACCATATTTGGCAGAGGCTCCCCAGTGCCAGCTCCTTCCACTTGACCGCATCCAGTGTAGAGCAGTTCGAATCATCGACGACTGGCACTGCGTAGAGATGTTGCATCTCTGCGTATTTTATCGCATCTACCACTGGGAGGGAGCTGAGGAATTGTTCGGACTAATTCCAGCCGCTCAATTTCACCATCGCACATCGGGACAAAACTTGGGATACCATCCATACCATCTGGATGATTGGCGGCCCACCACTGTGGGCTTTAGAAGAAGTTTTCTTCCTCGAACAACTTCCTTGTGAAATCGATTACAACCAGTGATTTTTCCGGACCGATACGACTTGGGGACCTTCAAGAAAAAACCTACTCCTTTTTAAAAGGCCGGCAACGCATCTGCAATTCCCCTGGTGTTGCAGTTGTTAATGGGTGGCGGTGGTCACTTACCATCAGGTGAGCCGCATGCTCGTTTGGCGCTTCTCCTATAAAAAAAGCTGACCAACGTGTAAACATATATATCTAATAATTTGCAATATCTCAACACATACAAATTTTAAGAAAGGCATGATAGCAGTATTATAAATCCTATTATGGCGTCTCCTTCAATGGATTTCGTAAAAATTATCAGTTCATTTTTAAATTAGATAGAGACCAAACTACATTTACTGAGGTAGCTGTTTCATTTGCTACTTGTCAGTAATAGCATCAAACCTGAAAATAAAGATATAATGATTGAAATTATTATAAAACGAAATTGAACGCTGTTAACAGGTGGCGAAAACCCTTCTTGAAGACTGTAACGTGGAGCCGGACTGCGTGGACTACGAAGGTTGGACGCCATTACATGCGGCTGCATTATGGGGACAGAAGGAGGCGGCCGCGCTTCTGCTGAAATATGGGGCAGACCCCAACTTGAAGAATTACTCGGTACGACACTTTCTGATCTCGATATACTGGGTTTGAATTAAAACCATAGCTAACAAATTACCGATTCTTAGCCAATTCTCATAGTATCAATATATTCATTCATGAAAAGATAACTTTTACCCCTTTTTAGTGTGAATGGAGAAAGCAAAATTTTATAAATAATAGGTATGTGTTACAAATACAACTGTGAATTCGCGGTGTAAGAATATTCACTATCCTGTCGTAAAAGGCGACAGGGGGAAACAAACCAGGAGATGGGCAGCAGCGTCTTCCTAACAAACAACTAGAAAAAAAAAAGTAGTCGCTAATGCACCTAGCATACGTGGCAACTACGACAAATAACGGCTATCTAAGGGGAGGGCTATGTTCAGAAGAGAATGTTTAAAGGTTGTGAGAATATTTAATAAATGCTTTCACAGAAATGAACATTTATTTCATTTACTTTGAAGCAATCTTTTAAAAAGCTTTTGCCCAAACTTTTGTGCAGTCCTGTACCAAAAGATGATAGACTGTACAAGCTTCCTTTGCAGGGTCAAACATGCATGGATCTCGTGGATCCGAGCATATCTTCGTGGTTAGCAGAGGCTTCGTTGAAGGCGCCGCGTCGCGTTAACAATAACAACAATAACAATAACAACAAACGCAAACGCAGTCCACCTCGACATGATGTCAAGCGTGTCGAGTTGCAGATCACTGGCCAGACAGATAACATTATTAATGGTAAGTGAATGTATGTTGCAGTTTTTTTTGATCAGTTGTCTATAACAATGCCTGTGCGACATAACAAGTCATAAGGCTCCATTCCAGGTTTGTCCATTAAGCTACCTACCCATGCTTGTTCCATTTGAACACTTGCTGTTCATTTCTTGTTGGTACTTGTATTTCTAATTTATAACATTTATTTATTCTTAATTTTTCTGTGCATATCTCAACCTTTTATTTTCAAATTTTGCTAATTTTATCCTTTATTCCTTTATTTACAATAAAAATTAAAATAAAATTATATTTTAGATATATTTTATTGCCTATTTAAAAATACAAAATTGCAATTTTTTAATTTGAAAGAAAATATATCATTAAAGTGTGTTTCAAAGCTCCGTTTATTAAACTGTTTTAATAGGTCAGGGAAAAAGTTTTTTCGTATTTTGTTTATATAAAAATTAAGAAAAATCTCTTTGATAGTACTGTTTGTATCTGGCTGATTTTAATATCAATACATATAGGACATATAGAAAAAAAATAAAAAGTAAAAAAAACATTAGGGCCATTTTTCAATTGTTTTCTGTCCGCCAAAATGAGTGAATCTAAAGAAGAAATTCGATACATTCTGAAGTTTCTGTAATACGAACAAGGAAAAATGTGAGCCCAAACCGAGAAAAAAGGTGTGACGTTTATGGCTCTAATGCAGTGTCCGTAAGAGTAGCACAAAGTTGGTTCAAGTGTTTTCAGTCCGAGAATTTTGATGCCTAAGATGCAGCTCAATCTGGTCGCCCTAATAAGGATAAATTCGATGCCATTTTTGAAACAGTGGAGCAAGATCGGCCTAATAGTAGTTAAAACATAGCTGAAGAATTGAGGATTAACCACAAAATAGTTTAGACCCATTTGAAAAAGTCTGGCTATAATAATAATAATAATAATATTTGGGTACCACATGAGCACACTGAAAGAAATCTAATGAATCGCGTACTCATTTGTGATTCTCTAGAAATATATATTTCTATAGAAACGTAATGAAACCAAATTATTTTTGGAAAGATTGATCACTGCTGGTGAAAAGTGGATCACCTACGGCAAGAACGTGCGAAAAAGATCATGGTCAAAGGGTAGTCAAGCTCGAGAGACTGTAGTGAAATCCGAATTAATACGCAATAAGGTGATGTTGTGTCTATGGTGGGATTGGAAGGGCATTGTTTATTGTGAGGTTTTATCGCCGGGCAAAATCATAGATTCGGATTTCTATAGCCAAGAACTAATGAGACTCAAGCTACAAATTGAGTAAAAACGATCGGAATCGATCAACAGAAAAGGAGTGGTCTTCCATCATCACAACGCCAGACCACACATCTTTGGTCACTCAGCAAAAATTGGGAGAGCATGGTTGGGAAGTGTTAATGCGTCCACCAAATAGTTCTGATTAGATTAGATCAGAGGAGACCGATACAGATTTTCACCTGTTTCGGTCTCCTCTGAATTCTTTGGGTAGTGGTAGGTTAACATCAAGATAGGACTGTCAAAACTACTTGTCGCATTTTTTGATCAAAAATGTCAAGATTTCTACAGCAATGAGATTATGTCACTACCTACAAGATGGCAACAAGTTATCGAACAAAATGTCACATATAAATGATAGTTAAATGTAATTAAACTTTGAAAAAAATATGTCTTGAATTTGTAAAATACGAAAATACTTTTTCCCCGACCCTATATTTCAACAAGTACAAAGATTATTAAGTTCAAAACTTTAACTATTAGTTAGAATAACGACATGTTGAGAGGTTGAGATTGCTATATATCACTTGGAAATGGGCAATTAGTATTTGGGCGCAATTCACCTACCATCTGTTGACATTTCATCGCCATCATGCAGACAAGCCACCAGCGGCACCGGAGATAATAACAAAAATGGCTGAAGGCAAACCACCGAAAGGTCGCGCTCCGTCACCAGAAACCACTGAGACATCAGAGAACGCCCCTGTTACTGACGAGGCACCTTCGTGGCGCCGTTCGGCTTCCTTCAGGAAATTAGCGGACTCAAATCGTAAGTAGTGTGCATAAAATTAACGCAGTCATGGTTCAGGACATCTCAAAATCCTCGTCACAGTAACCACTGGGTATAATTATCTGTTTTATTATATTAGCAACTCAGACCAACAAAGAAAGTCGGGGTGCCACGTACATTTAAAGTGATGCAAAACTAATTCAAAACCATGTTCAACTTATTTTACGTACACACACTAACATACACATCGCAACAGAAATCATTTTGTTGCATATGTGATATACACATTAGTAAAACCGTCTTATACTAATGAGGTAGTTAAATTTGAAGATGTTTTTGTATTGCTGTTGTGGAGATGGTAGAAGTGTGAGTTACTTCAGTCTGCAAAACTGAAACATAATATTTAATAGTTAATTCAATCAATCGTATTTCATAATCTAAGTATCATTATAAAACCATTTCTCTATGTAATTGGGATTTCATCATTTTCTTTTTCAGGTATTAATTACTATATTATAAATTACTAATAATGAAATTGGAACTTAAGTTTCATAAAAGCATTGATTAATTTGTATGATATTATGTCATTATTTATGAAATTGCAGTTCTGTATAGAAAAATTCAACTATTATTTTATAACACTTAATTATTTCCATTATCCAAAACCACCTTTAAGAACGATTTCGATGGTTTCATCAGAGTTGAATTGTTTTCCCTATAGAGTTATCCAAATTTGGAATAAATGTAAATTTGGAAGAGAAAGGTGGTGATTCCGGTGAGTGACCGAGTGTTTCCAGAAGTTGTTGTTATAATTTTGATGCAGTCTACACTGTGTGGACAAAATTGTCGTAAAGAAGTAGTGAACAATTGAGAAGTCATTATCGTTTATAATTCTTGACCATATAGTTCTACAGGAGTTGGCATGTGATGATCTCTAGATGTAATGAATAACGACATCACTTACCACAGAAATCAGCTTACTTTTATATTTTACAAATCATATGATTTATTTATCTATCGGTATAGTGCACCCTTTCGAACATTATTATATATATTAGTTTAAGAATTAAAACTCTTAAATCAAGTCAGCAAATTCTGAACTGCCAAAAACCACTACCAAAAAAGTTAATTAAGACGGAAGAAGTAAGTAAAAAAATTATTGTACACAATTATATATAGTTATCTTTTTGTTACGTTCCTCATTTGAGTCATATTTAGAAAACAGAATATTTCACGTTTTTATTTACTATAATTATTACTACAACTCTTCATAATTCTACTGCTAAACATAGGCCTCTCCCATAGATTGCCACTAAGTACGGTGCGGTGCTATCTGCAACACTGCAATTAATCACTGGAGCATGTCATTCCATCTATTAGGTGGTCACCTTACATTGTAGTTATTTACCTTCGGTTGTCGGTTCTTTGAGCTATATGGCCGGCCCATTGTCACATCAGCTTACTGACCCGCTGGGCTATACAGTTACTCTTTGTCGAATATCTTTGTATATTAATTATAATATTTTTATGCTATTCTGAGACACTATTAATATTATTATATACTAGGGATCCGCCCTGGCTTCGCACGGGTGAATTCTGGATCTCGTCAACAGCGCCACCTACCCGGGTTCAAATGTAAATCTAAATATCAGAATGGTTCGAGCCTTTTTCGAGTTTTAGTAAGACTAACGGACAGCAATTGATTTTTATATATTGAGATTATTTAGATATCTACTCTTTCATTTCCTTATTGTATGCATTATATGCTATATCAATCATATTTGTCATGTTTATAATACTTATTTGATATTTTTATTAAATCAATATTACATTATTTAGGTGAAAACAAGCTGGCAAATAATATGGACAACGACACAATACTACGGAGGACCCACAGTTTCGAAAATGATAAGACGTGAGTTATTTCTATATCTATGATAAGGTGATAAGTCTTATATAATATACAATTAAAATTTAGTTTTTGAGGACTATTTGAATTTCCGTGGCATGCGAGTACTGCAAAATTTACTAAAACATCACAAATATGTTTAAAGACATTATTTTGCTAAATGATTAATGCTAGTATACAAGGACAATTATGAATTCGGATAATATTAACTTTGTTTGATACATTGTTATGTGTTGTAAAATACATAACGATTCACTCCAACAGACCTGGGAATAAGGTGATCACCACCATGCTGGTGCTATGAAAATTCATTTAAAATTGTATAAACAAATTTATTGTTAAGTGAAATTACGTTTAAAAAAAAGCCCCGCTGGGTTTCTTGCTGGTTCTTCCGAGGACAGAGGTATTTTCCGAACCAGTGGTAAATAAAAAAATGACTTTCTATAAGTATTATGTAATAATCAATATTGAATAAAAATCATTCTATTCTATTCTATTTTAGACCAAGAGTAATTCACTTTTTTTTATAAAATAAGAGTGACAATGTAAACGCAGTTCAACTAATGATAAGTGGAAGCTGTGGATTAAGGATCAAAATATAGATGTGTTGTCTAAGATGAAAAGATTCGTTACCAGTAAAAAGGGTCTACGTTACATTCGCTACACGAAGTACAGAGGTATTAAGTAGTTATTTTGCGCTGGTATTACGCCAGTAAATGTGAATGCGTTCAATTACCACATACTAGCATTAATCATAGTTGTTTGTAATATTATATTATTCTAATAATGCTGCATACATTATTACTAAGTCTCACTGAACTTGATCGATTATTATAACAGATCGGTTATTATAACAACATGCTAACTATTCGCAATCAAGTCATATGTGGTAATATTCGTTTCAGAGGTAGGTAACTGAGGAAACTATGTGAAAACTTCTTATACATTTCATAGAGAATAGTTGACCTAGGTTTTACAAAGATTTTTGATTTGATGGTTGTATGCAGAAATTATACCTTGACATATATAGATTTAGTTTCTTGACATAAATAACTTCAAAATTGTGATGTCGATAGCAACATGGAATCTAAAATATCTCAGTGCTGAATAGGCGATTTAATTCCTTGGTTTATGTTATTGTTTTACATTTAAATATACAATACACGTGTTTAAAAGTGAAATTGAATTTTAAAAGAATTGGCTACTTTGACTGAAAGTGTTACTAGCCGATAAAAAGACGCGAAACATAGAGTATATAAATCACATTACGTTACATTGTCCAAGAAACTCGAAATTAAGAAATAAGTTCTTCGGAAAAATATGTTCTCTATTATATATACCATAATAAAATACCCAACTGTTTCTTTGAGTCTTTTGTCTTAAATATTCTAATACATACTTTCTTCCAGTTCACTGAAATATCTTAACCAGTTAAAACAATAAATCTTTTTATTTGTCTAACTTTTTATATACCCAAAGAATATCCTAAAAGCTTTCTTAAACAAATATTATATTACATTGTTTTGCCTATATAGAAAGTTATTACATCGACATTTAAAACCATGTTATTTAGTTTTTGGCGTAGAAACTAGAAGTAAACATCATTACTGATCCTGTTAGGAAAAATATTTATTACAAATTTGCGTACCGGTTGTTGCTACTCTGGTTTCTGTGTATCTATTCTGTAGCATAATTGTGTCTGTGTGAACAGTTTCTATCAACGATATCGCGATGTGACGGCACGAATAAAGGCGACGTCGTGTCCGTCTATACCGCCACTACCGCAGTCGACGTTGGCAGCAATCGAGCTCAGGAAAAAAGCTCAGGAGGCTACTAACAATGCGTCAGAGAGTACTAACGAAGATGTTCAGATCAGGTGCTTTGCGCTGCTATGTTGCTGTGACCAATGGCCTCGCTTTTAGTTCGTAGGGAAAAATTTCTTGCCATGCTTTGTAATGATTGAAAATGTAAAAGATATAATATATGCTCAGGACATCTTCTGTTGTTTGGAGGATATGTCTTAATAATCACACTTGACTGGCGTATTGTCAATCGTAACATCAGTTTAGCAACTTTGACACTGGCACCAGTCACCGGTCTGCGTATTTTACGTGTGGTGGAATGAGATGGCTCATACCGTCATTTATCGAAAGCCATAAGACTTTTCTAACATTTCGTATAGTCTTTTACGAGTCTCACGGGACGAAAGGGCCTACCACAAGCGCCACTACACGGCGTTCTACTTGATATAAGTTAAAGTTACAACCTATATACGTCCCACTGCTGGACACAGGCCTCCTCTAATTTCTGAAAGGGTTTTTGGGCAAGTAAATGTCCGCCGCGCTGCCCCAATGCGTGTTGGCGAACTTCACGTGTCTTCGAAATATTTTTTTTCTTATTTCTCAGACATGCCAGTTTCCTCGCGATGTTTTCCGTCACCGCCGAACACGCGGTAAATCAGCACTTAAAATTGCAATTAACAATTTCATTGGTACCGGCGGGGATCGAAACCGGGTACTTACAGCGAGCGCTAACCATGTGAGCTACCACGGCTCTTCTTGATATCCTATAAATATTTATAAAGGCAATTTTTTCTATTTTACTTTTCCCTTCGATTAAGTCCGAGGTTGATGGTCACGGTATAATCACAATATTAATATAATCCTTCGACATTACATAAAGTCTAACTAACATACATTTATTTAATGTTTTACAATAATACGTATCATTTTCAATTTCTCTTCGTGTTATTCATTGCTACTGCTTTTGAGGTGGTTTTCAGCTTAACATTCATAAATTATATAAATTAAAGAATTTCTTTTTCTTCTCCTTTATGATACATTTATACTCCACTGCTGAATAGAGAGTTTTCTCAAGAACATCCTAATTGGCATATTATGGTAAACACTGTGACAAGTGTTACAGTCAAATGTATGGAAACTCGAACACTATCCTAGCCTTACTTTAAAGCTTTATTATAATAATAATAATATTGAAATGTGTTGTGTGTAGAGTTAGTCCGACGGAGCGTAGAGAAAGAGAAACGAATACGTGGAATACACCTACAAATGCAAGCACTACTACTAACTCGACCCCGACTAATACCACTACGCAGACAACTGTCAGAAGGTGAGTTAACCCTTGTGTCTTAAAGTTTTAAATTTATCGGCAGCAATATTAATCGATTCCAAAAATATATTTAGCACCGCATCGTGAGGTTTGAATAATAAAAGTTAGTTAAAGTTACAGCCTATATACGTCCCACTGCTGTGCACAGGCCTCTCATTTCTGAGAGGGTTTTAGGGCAAGGAAATGTCCGCCGCGCTGCCCCAATGCGTGTTGGAGAACTTCACATGTCTTCAAAAAATTTTTCTTATTTCACAGACATGCAGGTTTCCTCACGATGTTTTCCTTCACCGCCGAGCACACGGTAAATCAGCACTTAAAATTGCCATTAACAATTTCATTGGTACCGGCGGTGATCGTACCCGGGTTGATCGCGTACTGTGAAATTTCAGCGACCACGGCTCGGTTTGATTAATATTTTTATTAATTATATTAAAGTAATTAAATTATTTATAACTAAGAAATTGTATTTTTACATACATTAGATTTGAAAATTTGTTGCTTTCACTATTTAATTGTTATTTCGGACTAAAAAAAAATACAAGAGATTCTCTGTGCATGAATCTGAATATTATGGTGTTGGTAGCAATAATTGCATAGTGGTAAAACCAAGTAGACGATAGATGTTATACAAGTATGTTAGAAATTTGAATCAAGTTTGATTACGTTGTTAAATTATTCAGTAATTATAGTTGAAATATCATGGTAACACGTATAAGAAAGTAAAATGATAAATTACGCGCACGTTACGTAAATTATAGAAGCAATTTGAGGTCTGCAGCGTATAAAGATGAAAGGGGATCAGTTAGAAATATCGCTGCATTGTTGTTTGTAGTAAATTATATGGTATTTACTAGTGGTTATGTGTACGGCAGCTCCGCGGAGAGCGTAGAGTCAAACAGTAGCAATTCAACTCCGAGCGCTGCCACGCCCACCAAATTGTCGCCCGGGAACATTTTCAAGAATTTCTTCAAGTACCCACGCTCTTGTAGTCTATTTAAATTTACTTGGACACGGAAATAAGTTTAGGATTTTAATAACTAATATTATTAGTCATTTCATTCGGAGAAATATTTTTAATTGAAATTATAAGCCATCACTGTCCGCTTGATGTACTTATTGTCTTTAATTTTGCACCAATAGATTTGTAAATTTTTTATGTTATTTATTGAAGAGCTAATTTTCATTATAACCCTTTCGTGTAATGGAATTAGAAAAATGGCTATTTATTTTTTATTAGAACAATTTTGTAGAATCTTATGTACCTGAGTACACCTTAACAATTAATTAATGTACTCTTAACTGACTAGTTAGTTTTAAAATTATGTTGTCTTACATCGATATGTACCCGATGGCCTTACTCAAAGTTTAGTTGAAGGATTTACGTAAACGTAGAACTTTTGAAAAAGAAATTGCCGTGTCCAAGTGAATGGTATTTGTGTGGTTTTTATTTTTGTAGCGCTTAGTACCATGTTTTGCTTGGACGTTTATTATTTGCGAATTATTATAGATTTATTTACGTGTTGTACAAACGAGCATGACTTGTTACACTGTAGTACAGCGATTTATATGCGATATATCTTTGCATGATTTTCTCTTTGGCACACTGGATAAATGAAACGCTTTAGTATGAATGTTTGTTTGACTTGGTCTAAGAAAAGCGGTGGTTAACGGTTTTGTAATTTCAAGGTCTTTCGTGCCCCCTGTTCGGGACGAGGAAAGTGAAACTCAAAGGAAAGCACACGCGAAACGCGTACGTGAAACACGACGGTCAACGCAAGGGGTAACTTTGGACGAGATAAAGTCTGCGGAACAATTAGTTAAGAAGAAGACGGGTAATGGTACAACTGAGGTTCCTCTGTCCACCAACGTGAAGAAGGTCGAAGATACGCCGACAACCAATACTGACAATAGTTCGGTAAGAATTATTTATTTTTAAACTTTACATTCTTTGTTAGTTAATACGATCGCCCATTTTCTTGTTAATACAAATTCTTGTACATATTGTATTCACATTCGACAGTTGCAGAATTGAGCAGTCTTTTGCCATTAGTTTCCGTCGAGAAATTAGTTGTTGTTATTTATTATTTAAATAGATAAAATGTACGATCAGAAGTGATAACCGTCGACATTTTATAGCAAATATTAGATCGTATTTGTTTTTAAAAGGTCATCTAGCGTTTAGGTATGCAATATTAACGCTTTGTACCTACAGTGTTATTGTAAATCATCCTTAAATCAGTAGTAAACTTTTCACTTGTGTTCAAAATACATTATTTTACCGACTGACACATCTTGTAAATACGTTTGTTTGATTTGAAAATATGTGATTAAGACTTACCTACTGTTATAATTGTGTTACACATACATTAATAACCCTTAAAAGCGATAAATTAGAATTTTCTCATGTCTGTTATTCTATTATGAACGCCGTTGAAGAGTAAATCTGACATGGCCATGATTTATTGACTTGTAATTTTATTATTTTTGTAATAATTTAAAATACATATAGTGGGCGAAATACTTCCCAAATGATCATGTATATCTTAAGTTTGCGATTATACATGATCATATGCAAAGTAATTCCTTTATGACAATCAAAATTAAAATTTCACAAGGGTCGTAAGAAGTTATTAGTTTTTAAATTCAATAGTTTCCACAGTGTTCTCAGTATGGCTATTAGACTTTGACGAAGCCGTTTTTTCTTTTACAAAGAACTTATTTAAAATTTTCAAGAAGTTGTATTCAAAACCGTTTTTGTAGGATTGTTGAACTATTAGTTTTAATCGCCGTTTAATTGTACTTTTCTTTCAACTGATTTCAAAAAAAGAGGAGCATACCACGTCGACTGTTTTTTAATGTGTACATTACGATTTTTCTTAATTGTATAGAGTATGTGATTCTATATCAATTACAAATAGAAGTGGGTTTGAATTTAAGTTTAATATATTAAATGTATCATTCCGAGTACCTCGTTAGTGTAGTGGGTGGGCTGTTGATTATATGTTCCGCATGAGCTTGCGCACACGCTCATATGCTCAAATTATGTCCTGCTCTAATGGCTCGTCTCCGTTGAGACTGGCCGCCATTTCCGAAATGCGGCCTAGGGGACATTATGTATCATTATATATCTATATTAGTAAATAGTGAAACGCATATATACAATTATATACTTAGTCGGGTCATAAGTTCTGTCAAAAACTGTTTATAGAATTAATGATACTCTTTTCGATAATTATATAGAAATTATTATTTATCGACGCAGCCAATCATCAATCGCAGCACGCACCACATTCATATTTATTTCTGCCGCTGCTTTAGCCAAAAATGCTCGGAGAGATTCCAAATTCTGATGAGGTTTAGTGCAGACTTTCTCCTCCAAATGTTGCCATTCTTGTAATCCAGTGGGTTTAAATCTGGACTAGAAGAGGGCCCAGTCTTCATGTCCGATAAAGCCAATTCTACGGACGGTCAACCAGTTTTGCGTGCTTTGTGCCATATGAGCTGGTGGAGAGTTCTGTTGGAATATCCAATGTTTGTTTTTGAACATTGTTTGAGAAAGAGGTTCCACTATGTTTGTTAGGACGATATTTTGGTACACGGCACTGGCTTTTACATTTTTTCACAGAAAAACACCTCAGTTAAGCCTGAATATGAGACTTCAAGCCAAACCATGAGTGACGAAGGATAATGTCCTCGTTGAATCCTCGGAATACGTGTGCTGGCTTCTTCACTGCTGTGGGCATACACCTTATCATTTTGTTTATTATAACTTTCTTCGATGATAAAAATGTTTTCATCCGAAAACAAAATTTCGCGGCATTTTTTTTCCCGCATACCGCTGTAACAAAGCGCGGGATCTATCCAGCCTAATTTTTGTCAAACGCTGGTCCAAAAAATGTCTGGTCTTCTTACGATAAGCTCGTAGTTCTAGGTCTTCATTCATCATTCTTTTGACCGTGGTTTTGCTTAGGCCCATCTGAAGAGCTAAGATTATTTGTTTACGAACAGGGTTTCGTTGGATTCGCGCCTTCATTGCTTTGATGATCGCGGGTGTCCTAACTGTACGAGGTCGGCCGGTCCTTTTACGATCTTCGAAGCTTAAATTTTCAGTGAATCGTTTGATTATTACTAATTAATATTGTTGTTTAAATAAATTCGGACATTACCTATTATAAGCAACAATATTCAAATAATATATTTTTTGGGGAACGAAAAATTTGAACATGGTCAATATTTACATTTGAAAACAGTCTCGTAAAATGGGTAGTATTATAGTATATTGGACTGCGTTCCGTTTAAAACAGTAACCAGTATAGTAAACTAAAAAGAAGGGTTTCACAGTATACTGAAATGACGTCACGAATATTTTCTTATTCCCTTCAGATTTGTTATATCAAGGTTGGTACTGTATTTTGTTTTAAAATTTAATCGCACTGAAGAATAAATAATTTTATTAGCTTTTATGTTCATACTGAGAACACTGTGTACACCTATACATCAAACAAGTGCGGTACAGTACGCGGCGCAGCTTTCGCTTAAACGGCTGTAATAAATGTATAGACGCGAGGCGTGAACGCGAGCGGCGGAGACGTCGCGGTAACGTTAGCGCTGGCGTGCGCGTCCGCCACCGCGACAGCGACCATCGCCGCGAACAGCGAGCGACGCCCCTCGTGGCGGTTGCGCCTCGACCCCACCAACAAGGTCCTCGGAGCCACTGACAACGTCCCACCATGCGGATATCATACACCGACACAACACGCGGATCATAACGCGTTTTTGTATTCTCACATGAAAAGAAACAGTTTCTTATTATGATGTAACTGCTTTTTTTTTTTTACGGATTTTGTCGTCGTTTAATTACACCTCGATTCATTTAATAGGATAGTTAAATTTTCACAAAAAAGTTTTCCATTGAAGACGGTTTCTAAAGGCTATGGAAATTAACAAGTAAAATTTTTAAAAATTACAGTGGATTTCATTTATTACGACCTTGGTTGTAGCGACCATTTACCTATAGCGACGTTAAATCTAAGTCCCTTGAACTTAAAGCATAGTTTAGTACTAAATTCATGTGGCTATAGTGACTTTGTATGTAACGCCGAGTTCGGGTGTAGCGACTGTTTTTAATGAATTATTTGTAACAAATTCCTAGAAATCCCATGCAGATATTGCGACCGGAGTCGGCCGCCAAAGACGCAATGATTTCTTTCTTTCACAAACATTTATTATCTTTTGTTTACATCCACAGAAATGGTCAGCAAGTGTGGAAACCTTTACCTTTTGTTTATAGGTATCAGCTAAGTAGGCAGGGGAAGCGTGTACGTTTCGGAGTTAAATTTATTGTTCAGTTACAAAGTGATATTCTGAGTAGCAAATGTAATGTATTGAATTTGTTACCTTTGCCTGTAATGACTTCCGGATATAACGACGAAAATAGAGTGGTCCCTTCATCGTTGTTGTACCCGAAATCCACTGTATTTATTAAACAAGAAAAAAAACAATTCACACAAAAGAGAAACCTTCAGAACGGAAGAAACGAATGCAAAGTATCCTCTATCTCATTCTCTCCCAAACTAAATCCTACATATACATCTATGTTTGTCTCTTTTTAGTTTCGGTTTTCATTTCATCGAGTTTCATATCACAACAATTCTAAAGAAATTTTCACTTTGAAAAGTTTATATTACTATATTGTCATCCGATTCTAAGCTAGGTTCAAAATTTCAACGCTCTAATTCACCAGGAAATTAGTTTAAAATGAATTACTATATTCACGTACAGAAATTCACATTAACGAGTTAATAAAAACGTAGTTAATTATAACATATTTCTTATAGAACAACGGTGACAACCAAGCACACAGTCTAGCTGAGTAAATGGATTCTGTGACACAAAGACATCTCTAAATCTATCTTCGATTAAGAATCAAAATACAAAATACTTTGTCACTAAAATGAAATGCCAGGTTTTCAGTAATAACAGTCTCTAGGCTCTAGAAAATCGACTCGGCTTCTAATCTGTGATGAATAATATTTAACCAAAACCAAACTAAATACATTACTAAATAATAAACTATTACATAACAAAGAAATATACCTTTTTATAGATCGGATGAAATATAGATATTTAAAAAAAAACCCTATAACATTAAGACTTCAAACACCTCAGTGTTTTGTGACCATGAAATAATACAAATAAAGTTAAATGCAACTAAATCCGTAACTTAAAGAGTCATTCTTAAACGTCAAATGAAATATACAAAGCGGTTCATTGTATGATATCCCTATGGATTATACACGGCTATCAAATGTTTTTAACAACTAGAGATTTGCACGCTTGCCTCTTAGAGCTCATTTGCATCATGAAGCTATTATTATTATTACTACCTTTTTATTTATTCAATCTTACTAGATACATTGAAGTAATATATACGTAGTACATAATAGCTCAATGGCTAAATTATTGTTTTTATTTGCAAAATATAAGTAAAAATAAATAAAGCTCATCTTTATCAATAAATATAATTGTTAAACACATGATTACTTTGAATTGAAAATGTTTTATTTAATATTATTATATCTGAATGAAAATAATTCTACTAATAGACAATATAAGATTTATAGTTACATGCACAGACAGTTTGTGACAGTTTATTTGGTAAGTAATTTGCAATATTTGTATTTTTAATGCCAGGGATTGAGAATAATTGCCTTGCGGACGCATTAATGCAACCGTTCGTTCATATAATGATCACTCGAACCACTTTTCCTGTACTAATGTAATGTAATGTCGTCATAAAAAAAGATTTCTCTGTCATCTCACGTGATGTGACGTGTCGAAAGATAATATTTTCATGCGTATACGAATGTTTTTTTTACGAAGAATTTTTTTCCTATTGTTTGTATTGTGAGAACAATAATACTGATTAAGGAAAGAAACATTATTTCTAAATGCGTAAAAGCAATTGATAGTCGTGCTCTATTACGTCATAGGTTCCTTGAATTGATAAAAATTGGCGCATGGTTTGAGAATATGGATGGGTGTCATGGAAATGTTTTTCACATGCCACATTAGGTGGCAAAATGTCAGTATAACATTGTGGGCTTAATGTTTTGCTTTTAATTTAGATAATTGTCCAAGTCTGAAATTATTGTTTGTTCCATTTATTCAAAGAGTTACTTCACTTTTTATCTGATTACTTTAAATATATGAACAATGGGCCGATCATTTAATTAGAAGTACCAAGAACCAACGGTGACGAAAGGTGCTTGAGTGGCAGACAACCAGTAAGCGAAGTGTAGGGCGGACGTTATACATGTAGTGACCACCTGGTAAAACATGCCGTTTTACCAGGTGGTCACTCCATCGATCGCTGTCGTCGATGTGAGTCGATGGACGTAGGTGATCCAGGACAGGACTTTGCATACCTTGGGGAAGGCTTATAAATTTGTAATACTGATGGTGGTGATGATATAAACGTTACAACGATTAAGTTTTTTTTTTATTAAATTTTATAATAATTGATAAACTTTACCACGAGGAGTCAGTATGCTATTTAAAGTAATACAATATAATGTATAATGATTATTATAGTTTCGACTTAAACGCGCCTTTTTAGCATCAGCTGTTATCTGTATATATAACATTTATGTTAAAATTTAAAGTTTAATGAAATAACTTGTGATGAATGTCGAATGTTAAAAATTGACAATATTGTTGACATTTTTTCGTCGTGTGACCTCTATCAAACACGATGAAAAGTCGAAACTGTTGTCGCCTCATACATTGTTCGTACAAAACATTGTACTTCATAATATGCATGGGTTTGTTGTGTTCTGCAAAGCATTTTGTAAGCATTATTTAACGCTGATCTGTGTACATTGAGTGGATTTTTTTCTTCTATAGCAATATATGTGTTGTGAGCATGCTGTCTTTAGAATTAAGTTTTTTATTTTGCACGAAGTATTACGACTGTAAGACCACAGTTGCGGTGAAAGTTCATAGAGATACGTAGGTCATTGCATAAGGTTTGTCTTACTGCAATTGGATATAACGCAGTGCTGATTTGTTTACATTTCCTCAACATTTCTTCATTATTTATTTTACTTACAGTATATAAACTGTATGTATTGTCACGAATTAGTTATACAGGTACAATCTTTAGATACAGTTGCTCCAGTCTAGCATCTAGTTTGACGAGGGAATGAAGAAAGTGTTTGGTTAAAATAGCCGCACCAATTGAATATAAATGTAAGATGCGGAGAATGGTAAAGCGGCTCTGACTTTTGACAAAAGACTATTCACTCTTGCCTTGCCTTGAGGGCTCATTCACATTGAAATTAATTTAGGTTAGCATCTTTGTTCAAGCGGTCTCTCAGATGTACTATCTAAAAATAAACTTTTTAAGAGAAGACCAATGATCAAAATACCTTTTCTATAAAAATGAAGTCATAAAGAAACTTACATTCCACGGTCGGCGGCTGCTGAAGTCCATGAAGCGAAAATGACTTCGGAAAAATAGCAGTAGATATACAAATATAAACTTATACAATGATCTACGTATTTATTTTAATATATTTTTTATAGGTTATTTCTTAAAATGTATAAATATTAAATATTGGTTTCAGATTATATATAATTTAGTTACTTAAACTATGTTTTCACTGGTATCGCTTAACAATTAAAGATATCACCACTTTATTATGTATATGGTAATTTTACATGAATTTTTTTTCTCTATAAATGCTTCAGCACACAATGGGTGGGATAAACTGCGGGGGGCCGATAACCGAGCGTGAGTGCGGCTTAAACGCCAGGGATGCCGACGGCATGTCAGCGAATCGTGGACTTTGATATGACTCTTTTCCTATCGACTCCCAAATAGTTGATTTAAGTGTAATCTTTAAGTTGTCCTTGGGGCCGTAATCATAAAGAAATATATGGCTCTTCACACGCCCTATCAGAAGTTCAATGCTCATTATCGCTAACTAAAGTTGTAAAAAAAAAATACAAAAGTCTGCACCGCTACGCAGTCGTAAGGCCACTAATAATATTATGTATTCCGCTATAATACAAAGCCAGAGTATCGTTCACGTTATGTGCGCCACTCGCCCACTACTCACCCAGCTTTGTATTCTCGGTTAAGTAGTTACTCAGCTAGACGTCGCTTTGTGCATTTTATACTAGATTTCAGTACATTAGAACACGACGAAATCGGTCGACACTGTAGTCCCATTTCGCCCCTTGTGTGCTGCCGGGCTTAATGCAAATATACCTTCCACGATTTCACTGGGCCTTAATCAAAATCATTGTACTGTAATGTACCTAAGTTATCTAAACTCATACACATATTTCAAAGTACGCAAAAAATAGCATAATTGATATTCATAACAACCAAAAAAGGTCTAGCCATATATTTTCATGACTCATCAAATAAAACTGGAATTAGAAGTGGATGTAGACATTCCTCAAACAATTTTAGGTGCTGGATTTATCTTTTTAACTTGTCTTACTAGTTTATACTAAACATGTTCTATCGGATTTACGTCAGGCGAGTACTTGCCACTTTAAGACTTTGATTTCGACCTCATCAGTAGACCTCAAAATTATCACAGTGGCATGAGGTTGAGCATTATATTGTATTGAAAAAATTTACCTGCCATAATATGTGAGGCAAGAGCCATTACAATCTATTTTAAAATATCTGTTATCTACTATGTTGTAGTAAAATAATCCCATGATGTATAGCTCCGTAAGAACTCCAATATTGATACAGGCGTTCTTAAATTAACCCTTATAATACTGAGCCTTTGTTCATTGGACTTGTAATAAATTTGGCACCTAAGCAAAGTTTGGCCTCTTGCAAACAAATGTGTCTAGCACATGTACATAGAAGCAGGCCCTATGCAATCTGCATTGAGTGTTGTGGTTTCGGAGATAACTGTCACTTGTAACTTCAGAGCTTAGATCTAAATTGTTAACAATAAATCTGTCGTTTATTACTGTTGTTACTATTTTGTGACTTTGGTTTTTGCTCGAAAGTCTCCTGGTATCATTAAAAGAAAAGTAGGACCGACTTTAAATCTTGCAGTGCTTGGACCCTTTGAAAACGCGTTCATGGAATTAATACATGGCGACAAATGATTCTCTGAATCCAAAGACGATTAAATCCTTTTTTTTCCAAAAAAGGAGACGTGATGAGACCATAGTACGTAATGAGACCATTTGAAATATAATTTAACCTTTTCTTCGTTCCTTGAAATATTTCTATGAGTTTATATTACAGTACATTCCCAAGTGGATTTGAAGCTATTGAATTGAAACATAATATCTGAAAATTATACGATAATAGAAGTATGTAATTAATTAAAACTGAAGTTCGGTTTATATGTGCGATGTTATAGCACTGGGATAAATTAAAACTAAAAAGTTAAGCTATATATTATGTACGTAGCGATATTTTTGAAATTTCATTTTAAATTTCGTTGCAATTAGTGGGGTAATAACAATAATGATTAAACATATGATAATACGGCATTGGAATAGAATTATAATATAATTTATAACATGATCAGTTTGAACTGGAGGATGCGGGCCGTGTATCGCCAAGGCCTGCTTCTACGAACATGACGACGGCCACAACCGCGGCAGAAGCGACGGTCACGCTGCCGTTGCGACGTCCGCCGTCCGCATCCACAGCAAACACCACAAACGTAACCAACACCACCATCGCCTCACACAAGGAGGAGAATCGTAGCGGTAATTTTGCATATATTATTTTTATAGATATCTAGTTCTTAATTATACTATTAATTTAAAAATGAATCTAGAATCTAGATTCAAGCCTATATTAATTTTTATATAGATCTTAAATACATCTACATTATTTCACTAATGTTTATGTAATGTTACGGTATTTATATAAAATTTGTTCTTCAGTGACATCAAAATTACAGAATACATTTACGATACAAGAAGATTACAGACCTAAAGATGCAAATATCGCATCGTTTTTCTATTAATTTCTCATAGTATATACTATAAGATTAATTAATTATTAATAATTATTAATTTAATATCTAGATAATCTCCTTATAATTTATATCAGTTTAATTTTTTGCAAAGATATTTTGCCGAAAATTCCGCAAGGGTTTATATTTTGTAAGTATAGTATTAACCAAACATAAGAAAAGGAAAGGATAAATTACCCTTGTATATATGTATAATTGTGAAAGTGTCACTGTTTCGATTTTATTTTTAAGATTGTTTCGATATTTACATTTTCCAATATTTCTATTTTTGTTCAACTTCAATAATATGTTTTTTTTTCGCCGAGTATGTAAAAGGTCGGGGTTGGTTGTACTAATTGTATTTGACTGGTTTTAAGATTAATACATATAGGATATTGAGAACAAAAGAGTAAAAAATACTTACCCGCCATTTTTCAATTATTTTTCTGTCCGCCAAAATGAGTGAAGCTAACGAAGAAATTCGATGCATTCTGAAGTTTTATTACAAAACAAGGAAAAATGCGAGTCCAAGCCGCGAACAAAATGTGTGACGTTTATGGCTCTAATGCAGTGTCAGTAAGAGTAGCACAAAGTTGGTTCAAGTGTGGATGCAGCTCGCTCTGTTCAGCCTCATACGGATAAAGTCGATGCCAGTTTTGAAACAGTGGAGCAAGATCGGCATATTACTAGTTACAACATAGCCGAAGAATTGAAGATTAACCACAAAATAGTTTTGACACATTTGAAAAAGTCTGGCTATACAGAAACCTAATGTATGGTGTAATCATTTGCGATTCTCTATTGAACCGTGATGAAACTAAATTATTTTTGAAAAGATTGATCACTTTTTTGGTGCTGAAAAGTGGATCATCTATGACAAAAACGTGAGAAATAGTCAAAGGGTAGTCAAGCTTCACAAACTAGCAAAACCCGGATTAACACGCAATAAGGTGATGCTGTGTGTATGGTGGGATTGGAACGTCATCGTTTATTGTAAGCTTTTTTTGCCGGGCAAAACCATCAACTCAAAAACTAGTAGGACTCAAGCAAGAAATTGAGAAAAAAGATTGGATTGATCAACAGATAAGGAGTGATCTTTCATTATGACAACGCTAAACCACACGCATATTTGACCACTCAATAAAAGTTGGTTAGGAAGTGTTAATGCCTCCACCATAATATAGTCCTTGCACCCTCAGATTTTCACATTTTTCGGTCTCTTCAGAATTCTTTGGGTAGTGTTAGGTTAAAATCAAGAAAGGTCTTAAAACTACTTGTCGCATTTTTTTGATCAAATATCCCAAAATTTCTACAGCAACGTGATTATGTCACTACCTACAAGATGGCAACAAGTTATCAAACAAAATGACACGTATATATATATATATATATTATAATTAAATGTAACTAAACATAAAAAATGTCTTGAATTTGTATATAAAATACGAAGAAACTTTTCCCCGACCTTATATGTATATTTGTCTGTTGTTTTGTGGGCTCCTATAATATTTATGGCTTGACGGATTTAAAATCGAAGTAAATTTTCGTAGCAGGAGTAATAAAAAATAATATGTCATTTGTTTAGAACATATTATTTTGACGAACGGACCATTTTTGTATTAATAACCGATTACTGCTGTTAAGTTTTTTGCTTTTGATAATAATTTGCTATTTTATGTTAACGCTATTCGTTTTATGTAAGAAGATATCGATCATTATGTTATCTGTTCTAAACAAAATGCTTATTGTAATTTATACGTTTGTGTTTTTTTGCGTCCTTGTGTATTAGAAGAGAAGGAGAAAGATCGGGAGAGCAGTTCTGAAAGTAAATCCTCAAGCAACGCGTCCCCAGCGAGTACGCAAGCTGCACTCAATGTTATACAGCGTCGACGTCGGCCCAAACGACGATCCACCGGCGTCGGCCATGTTGACATGGACGTAAGTATGCGTAGTAGAAATAAGAATAGATTAATGTCCTTACTTCATAAATTATCAGGATAATATGATTTTATTATGAACCAATTATAATTTAAGCTTAGTTAGTTATTTAGTGAAGATAAGAACATTTTTTATAAAAGTCATAAAAAGTTCCTACCGCTTTTATACTTGTATTATATATGCTTAGCATCTGTTTGTATAAGCAGGAATAATTGAAAGTTCAGTTAATAAATTATTATTCTAAGCTGAGAATATTAATCAGCCCCATCCCGTTCAGTGAAACATAAGACGGCCTCCACGATGTAGGTGGCCCAGGACTGTGTTGTTCTGCAATGCTAATAAATTTTGCTACATGATTGTATAATTAAACTATAAAAAATAATTCACACAGGGAGCATAAAAAATAAAATAATAATAAAAGCATTTTATAGAATATCTGTAATTAAACAATCATGCTTTTACTAAAATCGCTAGTGATATATATTTGTATAAAAATAAATAGATAACTTAATTAGGACGTTTTTAGCAGTCATCTTTGAAATGTAATTAAGATAAGCATTTTCCCAATCACAAGGCAAAACTAAATTTAAAAGAGTTTTTTTTTAAGCTTAAACAAATCGCTCACACACAAACTCACAGCATCGCAGTAGGCGCTACTACTTATTTCACTTCAAGTTATCGTTACTATCAGAAATACATACCAGAAGGAATATTTTCTTTTTTATAATTTTAAAGTAATAAATATTTTAAAACTTAATTTCTTTGTTTTTAAAACATTCGCTGATCGACGACCGAGGCATTGGCGACCGATAAACGACGAACCCACATCTCATAGACCAGTGATGATTGATCAGTCCACCTGCTCAGTGTAGTAAGAATGAGTAAATCTGCATAGATTTACTTAAAAAAATTTACAAATATTTATAAAAAAGCAGTTGTTGATGATGATAATAATATTTCATAAATCAATGGTATACATACTTTGATCACCTATTTCTCAAGTGTAAGCAAATTTGTAATTGAAAGAAAAGGAAATTTAAATACGAGCACGATAGGGCAGAGGCACTGTTTTTAATAGTATTTAAAAAAAAAACTATCTATAGCTATTATTATTCCAGCCACAATATTGTCATTTTCTAAGATTTTCGAGAATGACACCTAGTGCTTAGACATATATTGCGATTATATATCACATCTGTCTCGATGCCAGTTTGTTTTTAAAGACGTGCACGAAAAAAGTTCTCGGTCGGCCGTGTTCCACGTAACGTGATGCGTGTAACGTGTGTTTGGATATAAGCCAGAGAATAGTCAATAACTAATGTGTAATAAACTAAGGTTAAATTTTATAGTTCAGCTGTAGCTAGAAGCTACTATGATATACAAAACTCTGTTTAGGTATAAATTATTGGGCCTCATATTATCAATAGATAATTGCTGTTTTGTTGTTTTAGGACATTGTTAACGACCGCGGCGGAGGCGGTGAAGGCGACGGAGATATAGACAATGTTCAGGTAAGTTTTCAGAACCCTGGTCACTCGCACTTTATTTCAAATTAAAATTTCTCCACAACAATTTTTCTTTACTTTGCAAGTATAAACAAGACAATAGTATCGTCAAGTCAAATCTTGTATGTTAAAAAGTAAATATCGCGCGCATAAAGTTCAGTATAATTTTCTTTTCTTATATTTGAAAGCTAAAGAAATATAAATATTCATCTGATTGGCTAATTTATTGTAGTTTGGGGCTGTTTTATAATAATTCTGAAATGAACTCAAATAATAGACCTTATTTGTCTCTTATATTGGTGACTTAAGTAAACGATGCATGGTGCTTTAGAACAATCATATTTTTTATTGTAAAAAAGTTACAGCGATAGGATTTTCTCCTGTATCCGGGTAGGCAGTTTACATACATAAATATTACAAGGACAAACACCTAAACAATTATCTGTAGGCCACGGGGCGGTTTTCAATCGCCGGCACGGCATCGGCACGGCGACGGTGCTATGGCTCCCTTTTTCTACTGGACCGGTGCCGATGTGATCTACGCTCCGTTTTTGGGTAGTACTAACACAGACTTCAGTTCACAACAAGTAAAAATGGTCTCGTCAAGTCGTCGTATTTATTTATTATACCTCTTACATTTTAGACGAAAACATAATCAACGTTGATAAGTCAAATTTTGGATTAATTCAATCTTAAAATTAAGATTTAGAAGGAACAGATCCCTATTTAAAAATGGACCCCAAAATTTTTTCAACTATTTTCGCATGAAATATATGATTAAATTATAAATCAAATACGACTCTGTATTTGTTGTATACTATATTGTATACTGAATACGTAAAGCAATATTTTCTCGCATCACGCTTCATGTCTCTTTGTTTTGATCTCTCAAAATGAAATGAGTAATAGATTTTTTGCGAATCTCCTCGTCAAGTATTTTTTTTAAAGCTAAAAGAGGATTATCAATATAAACCTGGCACGCAAATAACATTTATCCGTCATTCGAAAGTCTTGTGGAGGCAGATGCAAATAGAAATTATTGTTTGAGAACAAGAAATGAGACGTAAAGTTCAACTGGCGGTACTTGACATCCTAAAGTATAATTAGAATGACTAATGGATAAGTTATTTTCATATTCATGAGTTGCAAAAATAATGTCTTCTCTCGTAAATAGGCTGCTTCTTCGTATTGTATGGACGTCGCGTTGGTGTTTTTGAGGGTTGAAAGTACGTTCGTTGTTCTCACTTCTTTATAATCGTTAACATAATACATATAATCGTCAGTTGATAAGTTGTGTAATAATTAGTTTAAAGAACATAGTTTATTAAATGCTTTAGATTTAACTAAAAAAAAAAAACCATTTATTAAGTTATCATTAAATGAATGAATAAAATATTTTTCTTCATTCCCCTTCACCAACTTTGTTATTTAGATTTTAGGCGTTAATTTACCCCACGTTTAACGCTGAAATAATCCACCGTGTTGAAACTTACGTGCCTAAAAACAAAAAGTCAGTAAATTGTTAGGGATTGAACACATAATATATGTGTTCAATCCTTAACAAGGTATCCGATCCTTATAGGTATCCGAGGCTCAGCATTATGTCATGAAATAACCATAGCGCTGAAATTCTGCTCGTGCCTTTATCAAGAACTCACGAGCCGAGAAAATGATAATACAAATAATATAATAAAAACGTTACCTCCACACTAGGATTTTCTCCTGTGTCGTGGGGACTAGTTTACATTCATAATTTTTACAAGGACAAACATTCACACTCGGAATAATTATTTGTAGGGCATACAAATACTTGTTCTGTGCGAGGTTTAAACTTACGGCCTTAAGCACTTCTACTCATTGCTAAGCCAATGTGCCACGGAGCCGTTGGGTTCATATTATTAAAGCATGACAATTCGAATTAGAATGGTGTGTAAACTGACATTAATTTTATCTGCCTTACATCATTTGGAGGTATTGACGCAGGCAAACTATGAGTGCGAGCGATATTTTCAGCGAGAGTATCAGACCGTCAAACGGAACTACTTGACAAACCGATTTTACAGTGAAATTGGCTTAGTTGTGGCCATAATCCAATCCAATGTTTTGACTACGTGACAGAATAAATAAAATAAGTGTTTTTTTTACGTGGGGTTTTCTTTAATAATAAATAGTTTCCTGTTTTGTATCTAAATATGTGACGTTTTATGTGCGGTATAAAAATAGTAGTGGGAACATTAAAGATCTTATGCTCGGATTTACGTCATGCAACTGTAGTGTTATTTGAAGTTATTTGAAAATTATGTTAGTATTGCGAATATAGTGTAAATAGATTTTTTAATATATTATTATACAAACTTTGCCTTCAAAGAAATTGCGATCTTATATTATATTAAACCAGAATTAACCGGAATAGATTAATAGCCCCACTAATTGGAGCCATTAATAAAGTCGACTAGAGAACAAAAATGTACTTTTAATAAAAAGCAAAAGCCGATTAAAAATTTATTAGAATAAAATATTTTTCATAATCTGCTAAAACATACTGTATTGTAGAATCGCCGACTTCATTTCACTTCAACGTGGATTGTATGTATGTATTTTATTCCTTTTAGTTCTTTGAAGTCGGCTTTTAATTTAAATGAACAGTTATATTTTTTTACCCTTTTGGGTGGGCTTGCCGTCTATCGTCAAATCATTGTCGTCTATATTACGTTAAAACATCATTCTATATTTTCCCCACGCTTTGTGTGAACCCCTGAAGTATCATACATAATCATAAAGATCGATCCACAATTGACAAAAATATCGCCTAACATACATACAAAAACATACAGTCGATTTGAGTACCTTCTCTATTATTTGAAGTCGGCTGAAAACGGATTGTTGTAGGGGTTCGTTGGTGCGTTGAACGCAATGCAACGTCAATACGTAGAAGTCGAATTACTGAAATTTAAAGATGTTAAAAATAAATTCGCTAAGATCCGCGTGATTCTATTAATTATATTAAAATTTAAGTGTGTCGGTATATTAATTGTGTGCAAATGTACTGCGTATTGGTCAGTATATAACTTCTGAGTATAAACGCCGAACATTTACCAGTAACAAAAATATTATTTTCTATATTATTATTTTTTACTTATTATAAGCCCGTGTTTGGTCACTTCCGAAATGCCAAACATATGGTGGAATTCCGTAGAGAACAGAACGAATTATTGATAGATAGACTGACACTGTAGTAACTGTCAGATTTTCGTATATTTGTCTTTGTATGTTTTGTTAATGAACAACAATTCATGTCTGTCTCTCACAAAACATTTCTTCTGGCAATCGGTACAATTAGACTTCAAAGACCAAAGACTTCAAATTACAAGGACGTGGTGAGGGATCCTTTTACACTGCTGGTGGCAATGTAAGAGGATCCCTCACCACGTTTCATTCCGTGACTATCGTAAGAGGCTACTATAAGTAATGCCAAAAAGGTCTTATGGATATATCCGATAGATGAACATCTCTTAAAGCCACACGTAAAACTCCAAGACCGGCGACGAGAAGCAACGTCAAAGGTACGAGACGTTTGGTACTGCGTCCAATCCACCTGACAAATGTAACGATTAATGTGAATGTGACTAGCAGGTGAACACATACAGGCCGATGAAGAAGAATTTTCTCTTGTATCGTGGAGGCGTTTTACATAAATTATATTCTTCTTTGTTTGGAAAGCTTTCATAAATACTTTAAGGGTATGTCTTATATGTGAATTCTGTATTAAGTAAATAAAAATTTTGTTTTAATAAGTATATTACATAATAATTATAACAAAATTCTTTTTTTTTCTTATTTGTCTAACAGAATCATTAAATTGTGGTCACTTTCTTATTTGACTGCAAAAGTAAAAGTAAGTCAATCTCTCTTATACTGCACCTAAGAAAAATGGTCTATGGGCAGCTATAGTATTATTCTAAGACGTGACCATTCAATATCTGAAAATTAAAGAAATTTGTTTGGTATTCGGTTCGCTGTCCGGACAAGGAACCCAATTCTTGGAAGCTTAGCGTTAGCATCCAGTGAGCGGCGGTAGCTTGTGCCTTGGCCAGTCTCTGGGTATTAGAGGTATTATTATTGAATATCTCCAGAGGCTGTGCCTTACACAATAACATCACAACAGAATAGTGTTTACGATTCGTAACTTTCCTTTATACTCATTGGATGTTGCCTCCACAAGTAAATTCTCCGAGAAATTGTGCAATTGGTTCACCAGCTTCCTTGCAGATCGGAGCATCAAGGTCGTTGTAGACAGTGCATGCTCCGACTACAAGCCTATTAACGCTGGTGTTCCACAAGGCTGTGTGCTATCACCAACGCTGTTTCTTCTGCATATCAATGATATGTTGCTAACTGGTAACATTCATTGCTATGCAGATGACAGCACTTGTGATGCTCTATACACCGGCCGTGCCAATATTTCTCGGGAAAACGTCGCCGGGTACCGAAACAAACTTGTGTCTGAATTCGAGTTTTTGCTAAACAAAGTCTCGGATTGGGGGCGACTAAATCTAGTCCAGTTTAATCCTCAGAAGACACAAGTTTGCGCGTTTACCGCTAAAAAGAACCCCTTTGTCGTATCTCCTCCGTTTCAAGGCACTCCCCTTCTTGCCTCAGCCAGTATCGGAATCCTCGGAGTCGACATATCGAGTGACGTGTAGTTTCGTGGTCACTTGGAAGAGTAGGCCAAATTAGACTCTAAAAAGCTTGGCGTGCTCAGCAGAGTGGGACAGTATTTCATGCCGGCACACCGCCTGCAACTTTACAAGGCGCAGGTTCGGCCTCACATGGAATACTGTTACCATCTCTGGGCAGGGGCTCCCCAGTGCCAGCTCCCCAACATTTATTTTCCATTCCACCCATTCTCAGCTCATCGTCTTTCCTTGAGCGTAGTTTTATGTTGAATTCTGCCGCCAATAACGTTAAATGTGTTTTAGATAAATATATGGCTTTTGAGATTATTC